GTAATAAAATATAGACAAAGACACCAACCAAACAGAATAGAAGAGACCTTATTGAGGATCAGTGTCTTGGAAGACTCCTGCTGAATGTGTTAACCCTTTAGGTGATGAATTGTGCTTGTGTGTCTGTCCACACATACGTTTGTGAGGAGTGTAGGGGTCTCAGGGAAGGGTCATTCTGGAAGGGGGATGTTACTCAGGAGGTTGAGAGCAGGAGCTGTTAAACTAGCATGGAAGCATTAAAAAATATTTTAAAACCTCAGTACAAATCTGCTGAATAAGAAAGGTGTGTACTGTGATACACCTTACTGTCTGGGCAAGTTCTTTAGAGAAGTTCTTTAGTTAAAGCACAGCCAGTTCTCCTCAATACCGGAACTATCTCCTCAGGGAGGGGCCCACAGAAGGCAGGAAGTGCACATGGGCACCATCAATACAAGCTGTGCCAGAAAACAGCTGGCTACTCGGTCCATACATAAGCAAGAGAAGACTTCCAAACTTCCTCTAGTGAAAGGCAAACCACACAAGTGTAAGAAATTCAGGCAAACCTTATAAGAAAAAATGGAAACCAAAAGCCAGCTTTGCCAGAAGAATGTTGGTAAGTGGGTAAGATACTAATCCACGTATAAGAAAAAGTACATTTTGTCTAAAATCTCTGTTAAGTCTCATGGGAATCTACCCCCAAAACCAACAGCAAACTGTACACACTGCATGTTAGCCATCTTGACAATAAATTATATTTAAAAAGTAAAATTTAAAAAATTAAAACTGTTAAGTCAACTAAGAGCTATGCTGCACGCCCATAATAGACACACCACTAAACCAAAGGTTTTATATGAGGTCTCAGTGAAGAAGAACATAAAGCATCCTTGTGATAATTACAGACAAGAAAGTCACTTCTCTGATGGGGTGGATTTGACATTTTAAAAGAAGGAAGGGCAGTAAGAAATAAATGGCTATGGGTCATAAAGCAATAGAAGATTGCGAGCATTTTCAGAAGACACCTTTCTGAATGCTCTCTATTCCCAAAACAAGAAAAGCTGAAGTCACTGGGTTTTTTTTTATGTGATATCTATCGTCTTCTACCTTATCATGCACCAAGCTCAAGTCTCTTTACATTTACAAAGGCTAGACAGGTCACTTCCTCATGCATATGAGAATACTGTTGGTTCCCACCTCTGGCTAGTTGGAAATAAAATCATTCTACAGTATTTAAAAGTTTCCCACATTTTCCTTTTGCTTAGAACACATTAGTATACTGATGGCTATATACTTTTAAAACTTGTCCATGGACTCTTTGCCGCTCCTCCCATCAAGAGGCAGGGTCTATGTCCTCTTCCCATGCAGTTGGTCAGCCTGAAAAGTTTGTTTATGACTAACAGACTGCTGTGAGACTTCTAAGGCTAGGACAGAAATGGCCATATGGTCCTGCCTGGCTCTCCTAGGATACTCACTCTGGGGAAGCCAACTGTGCAGTAAGAAGTCCAACTATCCCAGGGCGCCTGCATGGCTTAGTCGGTTAAGCATCTGACTTGGGCTAAGGTCATGATTTCATGGTTTGAGTTTGAGTTCTGTGTCAGGCTCTCTGCTGTCAGCTCAGAGCCTGCTTTAGATCCTCTGTCTCCCTCTCTCTCTGCCTCTCCCCCACTCATGCTCTCTCAAAACTAAATAAACATTAAAAGAAAAAAAAAAAAGGAAAGATGTCCGACTATCCTTGAACTACCTGTCAGCAGGTAAAGCTGAATAGGTTACAGGTAAGTGCTCCTACTGAGAGGCCAGGCTGAGCACCCAGCTGCTGGCTGGAATCAAGCACCACCTCAAGTGAGACATGTGGGTTACCCAGCCCAGTCTTCACATGACTGCAGCCTCATCCAGTATTGGACTGCAAGCACGTGAGATATCTCAAGTTAGAACTGCCAGGCAGAGCCCTCCCTCAAACTCCCAACCCACAAAATCCTAAACAAGATCAAATAGTTGCTGTCTGCCACCCCAAAGATGTGGGATAATGGGTACCAATGGCAACAGTAACTGTAATGACCGAGGAAGTATTTTCTGACCAGTTCTATCTCCTTCTGTACTTTCAGAAGGCAATTTCAGACCCACGTTGTATTAGCCAGAATAGACTATGTTATACTGTGCTAAAATAATTTACCCTGAAATCTCACTGGGTTTATTCAACAAAAACGTGTCCTGTTCAAGTATAGGCAGGGAATTTTGTTCTATCTGGTGAGCCAGGGAATCAAACCCCTGCATGTGACGACAACTTCATCTCACATACTGCTCCAGCAGGCGACACTAACTCTCTAATGTTAACATCCTGTAGCATATCCTCATTCAGAAAAAGTGTCATGCCATCTTGGCAATACCATATTTTAAAAATTACTAAGTGCAATACAGAGGGCAGTCTCCAATATGCATTCTCCTCTTCCTCCTTTTTAAAAACAATTTTTTAAATGTTTATATTTATTTTTGAGAGAGAGACACATACACAGAGTGCAAGTAGCGAAGGGGCAGAGAGAGAAGGAGATGCAGAGTCTGAAACAGGCTCTAGGTTCTGAGCTTGAACTCATGAATGGTGAGATCAGACCTGAGCCAAAGTTGGATGCTTAAATGACTAAGCCACACAGGCACCCTAGCTTTTTCTCCTTTTAACTATAGCAACAGCCAGAGTTTTAGCAGGGCACGTAACTGCCTGACTATAGACTGCACTTGCAGCCAAACGTACCATGTGACTAAGCCTGTGCGTGGGACATGAACAGGAGTGATATGTGTAATTTCTAGATCCTTTCCTTATAGGCACTTGTCCTGTATTCTCTCTCTGCTTTTCCTCCCCTCTGGGACACCTAACTTTTAGACTGAGAACAGGAAAAAATAAAATAATTCTATCTACCTTCCTCCCTCCCCCCCTCCTATCTATCTATCTATCTATCTATCTATTCATCTATTCATCTATCTATTCATCTATCTATCTTTCTATCTATCTATTAAGTCCACTTTAATTTTTACAGAGAGCAGAGAACAATGGCGGGGTTGTGTGTCATACTAACATAGCAACAACTAACTTTTCACACCTTCTCCTATTATACACCTTCATTTTATACTGCTATACATTTCCCCCTTTTAATCTGTACTTTTGAATTTTGCGTTACATTACTGAACTTCCACTATTCTTTACTTAAACTGAACTCTAACTCACATGGCAGCTTCCTTTGAAGGCATGGGCTCTCTGATGTAGGACACAGACACTGCAGTGTGGGAGAGGGAAGAGTGAATTCAAAGGTTGATGATCTTGCCTCTCATCCTGGAGGGGGTCTTAAACAAGCCCTCAAGTCTACTGAAATAAAGACCTGCAGCCAAAATTGAACTCCTAAAAAGGGTTGGGGGGAGTAATGGTTAAACAGTAACATCTTGTGGCTCCCCTACCTCAAATCGTAACTTCAGCCGATACAATGAAGGCAATCTGGCACCATGGCCAGCAGTGCAGATCCTGGAACCAGAATAAATCTGGGTTTGAACCTCAGCTTTGCTATTTACTACTAACTTTTCTATGGGTAAGTTAACTACTCAGGGGCACCTGGGTGGCTCAGTTGGTTAGGCGGTTAAGCGTCTGACTTCGGATTAGGTCATGATCTCATGGTTGGTGAGTTTGAGCCCCGCGTAGGGCTCTGTGCTGACAGCTGAGAGCCTGGCGCCTGCTTCAGATTCTGTGTCTCCCTCTCTCTCTGCTCTTCCCCCACTCGTGCTCTGACTCTCTCTCTCTCAAAAATAAACATCTACAAAATGTTTTTATTAAAAAAAATTAAAAAGTTAACTGCTTAAGTCTGTTTCCTCACCTGAGGAAGGTAAGGAAGGTGAGTAGAGTAGCTCATAGAGTAAGCCATGAAAATTGAAGAAAATAATACACATCAAGTGCCCCGTACACTGCCAAAGGATTCAATGCCAATTGTTAGAATAATTCTATTCCTTTCCATATGCTATTCCCTCTGCCTGAATACTCCCCCTCTTGTTGACCTGGGGAATTCCTTCACATTCATTATAACTCACGTGGTGCATTCTCACCTCCTTCACCTGCCCTCACTTGTGTTACTGAGAAGACACGTATGTTAATTCTCCTTATCACAGGATACTGTAATTGCTTGTTTAAATAGCTGCCCCTCCTCACTGTGGGCACAGTCCATTTCTTCTTTGCTGAATCCCACTACTCAGTAGAGTACACATTGTAGATTCTCAAATATGTTTGTAATATGAACTGAATAAATGAGAGTTCACTCTACAGTCAACCCCTTTCTTTTCTAGATTAGGAACAAGGCCTACTTATTAATTATGCCATTCTTTATAACAAAAGAATTGTCCTATCAAGATAATTTAAACTGAAGCATAATTAGTATTGGTGATATTACAAAATGCAGTTATCTGAACATGAGTATCTACAGATACAGGCTCTCTAATGAGAATATTCTTGTCTAACATTTCAAGTTTTTGTTGGGAATTGTAAGCAGATGTGATTAAAAGGTCTTAAAAATCAAGGTCAGTAATTGAAAATGTATTGCTTTTGTAATAAGGAACAAGGCATTCGAGTTTTAAGGATAGAAAATAATCCTAAGAATACTTAACATATATATGGAAATTCTTACTCTATAAAGTTTTTTCACCTGGTTCTTTGATTGCCTTGTGATAGTGAAAATAGCTGTATTCCTATTACATGGCAGGTCATGTATAATCAACAAACACTACAGCAAAGATGTAAATCTGTTTTGGCCAGCTTTGGTGGCCTTTATTGTGGCCATTAAATCCAGACTTCAATAAAAGATGTTATCATTATTATTTATAGTTTTCTTTAGGGAAAGAGAATATACTAATAGATCCACCTTTGAGTAAGACCAATATTACCATTCCCTTTAAAGAACTTAATACCAGTTTCTCCTGACAGTGACAATACGTAGTTTTAAAGAGTAAGAGACACTTTGTAAGAGAAATTGGAAACGCCAAACATTAAAATAAAATACCTCAATGCAGACATGATGCATTCCTCCAGCCTTGTTTTTCTGCAGAAAACCTGCAATTGGGCTGTTGTTTCCCAGCGGATGAAGCAGTTCCATCTTGGTATTTCCCAGGTTGACAAAAACAACTGATACTCCGTGCTCAGGAATAGGGACCACCTCGCTTACCTGGGCCCGCAGAACATTCTTATAAAACGCCGTGGCTTTTTCCAAGTCTGGCACTGCAATTGCTACATGATTGAGTCGACCCAGGTTCCACACAGGACCTGCCCCTTGGTGCAAGTACTGTGATGTGGAAAAAGCGTTTACTTTTGGAGTTGAAGTCTGAAGCCTGGTAAAAAGCCCTGAAAAATTGAACAGCCATTGATATCCTTCTTGAGAATTAATGGATTTATAAAATCAATTTTAAAACACTAAATGAATAATACATACAAACATTACTTATATACCTATCTGGTTTTAATTACTGAAATTAAACTGGTGAGCTTAATGGAAAAATGATGTCAAAATTACTCATTCTGCTCTGAAACAATGGTCTGGAATTAAAAAACTAATTGTGAGCTTTTTAGACTTAAAACAAAGATGGCATTCTTCATAATAATTTCTATTTATTGATAATACTTCAAGGATAGCTACATAGCATTACGAATGAATTGCAGGGGGCCTGGGTGGTTTAATTGGTTAAGTGTCTGATTTCGGCTCAGGTAATGATCTCGCAGTTCATGAGTTCAAGCCCCATGTTGGGCTCTATGCTGACAGCTCAGAGCCTGGAGTCTGCTTCGGATTTTGTGTCTCCCTCTCTCTCTGCCCCTCCCCCATTCACATCTTTTCTCTCTCTCAAAAATAAACATTAAAAAATTTTTTAAAAAATGACTTGCTATTCTCTATTTTTCACAAGGGGTAAGTTTGAAGCTGACAGTGACACAATACACATTTAATGATAAGAACAAGCAATTTTCTTCTCTATCTATAGCCAATTTTTTGTCTTATATTCTGTAACATGTATTAAAGCCATGTCCATTACAGTGCTTTTTAATGTGTGTTTTTTTTTTAATGATTATTAAAGAAAAGACCTCATTGTTGGAAAAAAGACAAACAAACAAGAGGATCCTTAAATTTATGACAATTCCCTCTGAGACCAGATTTTTTTTGGTTTCTTTTTATAATTTTGAGGGATGAGAAAAACTGCTTCTGAATGTGAAGAAACTTCTTTCATTACTGTTTCCCCAGTTTCCAAAATACTGGACTTTAAGAGCCGAATTCTCCCCAAATGAAACTGTATACGTATTTGAGGTCTAAGAATAATCTTGTAAAACTACACCACTTAATTAAAAAAAAGTACAAAATAGCAAATTGAAGAACACATATTCTAAACAATTAGGTTTAGTTCTTCATGGAAAATATTTTAAGTAGTACTTAGTATTACAGAGCTTCAGCTAAACATAATTCCTCCTTACTGAAATTTTTGAGAACAGGGAAATTAAAGTGATGCTATTGAAGACCATAAACCTTGTGGGGAAAGGCAGTCTCGTATGTGTCTTTTAACCCCCACTCAGCCACAGAAGGATGAAAAGCTCCTTGGCAAGAGATAAAGAGCCCACATAGCCTGTGTAGGTTATCACGTTGTGCTGGGAATATCTTTCCCTCTTTCAGGCTCAATGAGTGCTCTTTCGTCTCAGCTTAACATGTGTGCATCATATGGCGAACCTCACTGTTATGCGGTCCTCCGAGGAGAGGGGACAGGGTTATTTGTACTGTGGCACAAGAAGGATGTGCACACTGTTCTGCACTGACCACTGGGAAAGATTCATTGGTAATAATGGACCAAACCCACTATTAAAGGTGATCTTGCCCTGTCTCGTTTCTATGTAAGTGAAGCATTGTTCCATCGAGTGCTTGTGTTTTCTTTGGCGACTCTGATACCAAGATGCAATGGGCAAAAGTGTTTAGAGTCCTCCGCTGGGATTGGTAAACAGTGCATGGTACTCTGCTTGACAAATGTGATGCATCACAGGTCAGAAGAAGGCAAAGTTCCCCCTAAGATAGTCTTCTGGTATGCTCAAGCCTGTAATTATTGATTACTGAAATATCCAAAGGTTGTCATTATTGATAGGCTAACAGAGCCCAGTTCTATGAACTCACTGTATTATAAAATTCAAGTGTATTCCAACCTAGTAAACACACACATAAATGTACAACTGAAAGTAAATTTCATGAAAAGCATACCTAATCCTCAATAGATGTGATGTGCTCTGATAGTTCCTACTGTTGTACTTTATTTCAGTTTTTAAAAAATTCTGGTACTACCTACCAAATCACTACCTTGTAAGTCTGTTTTATATTTGGTGTAAAAAGTACAATACAGTGACAAACATGTGTAACAGGTGCACAACAAATTCAGTCATTTTTATTGTTACTGCCATACAATAATTGTTTGCTGAATGGCATGCATAAACTGTCTCAAGGACACAATGGTAGTGAATTTTAAAAATGCTAATAACCGGGCACCTTGGTGGTTTAGTCAGTTAGTGTCCCACTCTTGATTTTGGTTCGGGTCACGATCCCAGGTCATGGGATCGAGCCCCACACTGGGCACTGTACTGGACATGGAACCTGCTTGCGATTCTCTCTCTCTCTGCCTCTGCCCCTCTCCCCAGCTTGTGTTCTCTCTCTATAAAATTAAAATTTTAAAAATGTGAACAACCAAAAAAATCATTGGTCAAACTGCTCTTTCCTTCTAACTCTACTATCTGTGCATTTTACAATGAAAGTTCAATACAGAATGTATCTGTATTAAAAACAAAAAAAACAAAACAGGGGCACCTGCGTGGCTCAGTTGGTTAAGTGGCCGACTTTGGCTCAGGTCATGATCTCACGGTTTGTGAGTTCAAGCCTTGCATTGGCTTCTGTGCTGACAGCTCAGAGCCTGGAGCCTGCTTTGGATTTTGTGTCTCCCTCTCTCTCTGCCTTTCTTCCATTCATGCTCTGTCCCTGTCTCTCAAAAATAAATAAACATTTTAAAAAGTTAAAAAAAACAAAAACACACACACAAAACACTATAGACAGGGCCAATGAGCTTTAGAATAAAATAGACGTCAATAAGTCCTTTGCTCTGTGAAATTTTAAGAGTATGTCAAATACTGAGTCTAGGTATTTCTGAATTGTCCTTAGCAGTATTATCTCTACAGAGATGGGGGAACTGGTACTTCCTTGCCAGGCATCCTATTACTAGCAATGGGACATAGAGAAATATCAAAGGAACAAATAAGAAGATGTCCAAACAAAGGTGAAGTTTTATATATTATACTAGTTTGTTTGGGGACATTTCAAAACCTCTGGCACTGAAAAGGAAGTCCAAACAAGTCATGTTATTGGAAGCCTTAGCATAGCCTATCTTTTTTCATAACCACCTTATAATTCAGAAATAGGAGAAGAGGAAAAATTTATTGGAATGACTGGCTCTCTTTCCTTTTAATGGAATATAAAATAAATCTTCATTTTACATTAGGAAAATAGATAATAACATATTTATATAGTGTAAAAGTCAAGACTTTGTGGCTATACAGGCTTATCTTATCTCCAGAAATGTAAACTAGTTTGAAAAAAGAAATATCTGGGGTGCCTGGGTGGCTCAGTCAGTTAAGCGTCCGACTTCATCTCAGGTCATGATCTCACAGTTTGTGGGTTCGAGCCCTGTGTTGCGTCTGTGCTGACAGGTAGCTCAGAGCCTGGAGGCTGTTTCAGATTCTGTGTCTCCCCCTCTCTCTGACCCTCCTCTGCTAACACTGTCTCTTTCTCTCTCAGAAATAATAAACATTTAAAAAATTGAAAAAAGAAATATCACTATATTGGTTTTATTTGGTCCTTAAGAATGAAGATAAATACAGGGATGCTGCTAAGAATTCAATAATTCAGTTTCTTTAAAATAAAGGGTTAAGAGGGGTGCCTGGCTGGCTGAGTCAGTATAGCACATGGCTCTTGATCTTGGGGTTGTGATCGAGCCCCATATTAGGCATAGAGATTACTTAAATAAATTTTTTTTAAAATGAAGGGTTAAAAACATAAAAATGGCCAAAAAGCACATAAAATCTTTAATATCATAGCCATTAGGGAAAAGCAAATCAAAAACATAACAGGATACCATTTCATGCCCACAACACAGCCTGCTGATGAGGATGTGGAGAAATGGGAATCCTTTTTTTACATTGCTAGTAAGAAGGTAAAATGATAGAGCTGCCATGGAACAGCTTGGAAAACTCAAAAAGTTAGATATACAATTAGTATATGACACAGAAATTCCATTGCTAGGTACCTAAAATAATTGAAAACATAACTTAAACAAAAACTTGGACACAAATGTTCATGACATCACTATTCCCTAATAGCCAAGCAATGGAAGATGATTCACATCCATACAATGGAATATTATCCACACAATGATATGAAGCAATGATACGACATGGAGAAACCCTGAAAACATTATGTGAAGTGACAGAGGTCATAAAAAGTCATATACTCTATGATTCCATTTATATGAAATAACCAGAATGGGGAAGTCCACAGAGATGAGAAGCAGGATAGTTGTTGTCAAGAGCTAGAGGGAGAAGGGAATGGGGATTGACTTTAATTGGCATGAGATTTCCTTTTGGGGTGATGAAAATGTCTTGGAATAAATAAAGGTGAAGGTTGCACAACAGGATAAATGTAATAAATGCTGCTCAACTGTACATTCAAAAATTTTATGTTATGTGAATTACCTTAAAACAACAACAGGATGATGCTAGCTAAGTCTATGGGCAAAATGTGAAATCTTGTAGACCAAGCAAACTGGGGTAGGAAACATGGAATAAAGGAATACCATGATATAGATCCTTGTAGACACTTAATAAAAAATTGTTTCTGAAAAGTCTGTGAACCTTTAAAAATTTATACTTCCTCCTTTGTCTTTGGCAACTTTTATTTTATTTTAAAAGGTCTCTTTTAAAAAAATTATTATTTATTTTTGAGAGGGGGGAGGGCCAGAGAGAGAGAGAAAGAGAGAGAGACTGGGAGACAGACTCTGAAGCAGGCTCCAGGATCCGAGCTGTCAGCAAAGCACAGAGCCTGACGTGGGGCTCGAACTCATGAACTGCAAGATCATGACCTAAGCTGAAGTTGGACTCTTTAACGACTAAGCCACCCAGGTGCTCCAAGTCTTTGGCAACTTCTAAAAGATATTTTTATTTAAGGTTGCCCTCCAACTGGTAGGAATTTACAAATCTAGTTTTAGGTTTCTCTGTCTCCCATCTCAGAAAGGCACAACTGCATTACTTTGAACTCTAGAATGTGTGCTTTGTGACTATTCCACATAGTTTCACAATAAACTACAACGTACAAATATATGAATAAATGCATCAGCTATTTAAAAATAGGAGTGTTAAAATCCAATAGGATCGCAAAGATCGGTATCTACAGTTATGAAACAAATGATACCCACATATCAGGAATCTGATACACAAGAAATAAAGGGGCGCCTGGGTGGCTCAGTCAGTTAAGCGTCTGACTTGGCTCAAGTCATGATCTCACGGTTTGTGGGTTCGAGCCCCACATTGGGCCCTGTGCTGACAGCTCAGAGTCTGGAGCCTGCTTCCAATTCTGTGTCTCCCTCTCTCTCTGCCCCTCCCTGCCTCAAGCTCTGTCTCTCTCTGTCTCAAAAATAAACAAACATTTTAAAAAAAAAAAAAAGAAAGAAATAGATATGTTACCAAATCCGGTGTGTATGTTAACTAAATACTGTTAGTGCCTTGCCATAAAAATGACACTGCATTTCCTTCCATCCATTTATTTCAGACAAGTTTTTCCAAATATTGGCTCCAAATAAGGAAAGGTTTAGCTGCAAAGGTCTATACTCAAATGTATTAACAGTTCTTACTGTTTAAAGACATTGTATGTTAAATTTGTACATAAAGTTTCACAAAATTGTGAAAAATCACTTGTAATAAGCTCTTGCTAACATCTTATTGAGGTATAATTTATACACTAAGGTTCACCCATTTGAAATGTACAATTCAATGTTTTCTTGTATGTTTTCAAAGTTGTACAAACTTTACATAATCTAATTTAGAGCATGTAGTAAGATTTTAAGTCTAGACTTTTGTATATCTCGTTTGAGAAGACATAACACATTGAGAAAGCCAATCATCAGAGTGCCTTCAAGAGTGCCTTCAAGTTGGACACTTCCAAGATTGTCCCTCCTTGGATATTCTTGTTCAGCCCTAAGGTACCACACAGAGTTTCCTTATATCTCACAGTTACTGTTTTATCATAGTTAATCATTCCTTTTACTAGATTTTCCCCATGATGGAGTCCAGGGTGGAAGTGCTGGCTCCCACAAGCCTGGGATCATGACCTGAGCTGAAATCAAAAGTCTGACACCCAACCAACTGAGCAACCCAGGTGCCCCCAAATGGCTTTCTAAGAGATAATGAGAGATGACTCTGTCTCATAAGTTTTTTTGCAAAGGGTTTCTTGCAATTGTGTGTCAGCTAAGATGTTGCTTGTATTTCACCAAGGAGAGGAAGGATGGGCTAGGAAGGTGCGTTATTACAAGAACCTGAGAATCATCTATTAATCAGATTCATTTCAACAGGCTGTGCTCAGCTTGTTATATTTTTCCATGTATACATACCACCTCTTTAAACTTCTAAGTGCTGAAGAAAACTAAAACTATAAAGATGCACTTCTTTGCATGTGGCTGGCCACTTAGCCCTGGTGACTTACCATGATAAATGTGAAAGAAATATTGTGACTGGTAAGAAAGACTACAGTGATCAATAAAGAACTGGTTCAGTTTGAGATGGGACTTCAAAGGAAGACTAGAATTGTAAGTTGGGACACTGAAAGCACTATCTAGCAGAGAGGTCTAACATTAATTATTAAAGGTTCACCCCCTTCAACACTTTCTGAAGGTGCTAAGCTGAAGGCTTCAGAGCAAACATTCAGGAGTAACTCTGAAACATTACCACTTGGCACTCTTCCTAACAGGGAATTTCAGATTAAGGGAAATAGTGGCCCTCTGATGAAGGAGAAAGAAGAGAGAAAGAGAAGAAAGTGGGTGGTCTGGGAGTCAGAAAACTTGAGTTTCTGTCATTACTGATTCTACCCAGCCTTTTTTTTTTTTTTTTTTTATGTAGATGTAGAGGACTCATGGAACCTTCCAAATCCGTCTGCCTTTTATCTTTCCTGTTTACATACAAGATAATAAATATTAGTTCACAAAAGAAAAAAACACTTCTTTGGTATTTACACAGCTGACCTTCAAGTGTTCCCAGCAGGATACTGGAAGTACTTGGGAGTTCAGCTTACATTTGTTTTTTTTAATTTTTTTAATGTGTTATTTATTTCTGGGAGAGAGAGAGACGTGTGAATAGGGGAGGGTCAGAGAGAGAGGGAGACACAGAATCTGACGCTGGCTCCAGGCTCTGAGTTGGCAGTCAGCACAAAGCCCGACGTGGGGCTCGATCCCACTAACCGTGAGACCTGAGCAGAAGTCGGATGCCTAACTGACTGAGCCACCCAGATGCCCCTCGGCTTACGTTTTATAAAGGGCTTGCCCTTCTTTCTGATTTCTCCCCAATCTCTTAAGGTGCGCTGTAAACTCACTGTCCCTCTGCCATTTACTTCATCTACTTCTGTCCCGGCCTTGCTGTCGGTCCCCTTGGGCAAGTTCCCTGGCCTTTTTGGGAATCACCTATAAAGAGGTCAACGTCAACTGCACACACTTCCCAGGGTGGCGGTGAGAATCCAATACTATATGGAAACCCCATGCTAACCTGAGATGTTCCTGGGAGATACCTCCTGCCTACAGTGCTGACAGCGACCGCGGAACGCGCCTCCTAGGGGGGTACAGAGTGCAGTGGATGTGGCCGCTCTAGCCACCCGCCGCCTCCTCCAGCCCCCGGCCTCACGTCCCGCGCGCCCCACCCCCGGCGAACCCCGGCCGCGCGGGGTATTCACCTACTGCGCCCGCAGCCGCCGCCGCAGCCTTCGGTAAGCCCGCCATCTTGGGAAGTGACCCACTCTTTCTCGAGGTGCGTCAGAAGCGGAAAAGGCGCTCAGCTGAGGGGTGGGGCAACCCGACCAAGGGAGGGGCATACGAGGCGAGGGGGCGTGGCGAGTGTCGCCGTGTTCTTGCGGCGCTGTAGAAGAGGTTGCTGTTATTTGAAGCCCGTCGGTGCATCTAAAGCAGAAACTTAAATGGAGATGCGTCATCCCTGTGAGACCCACAGGACTACGAAACAAAGTTTGAAGAAAGTTCAAAGGCGCTAGAACTGATCTGTGGCCCAGTGAAAGCTCTTGCACTGACACTGGCTTTGGCAGGGTGTGGGTCCGGAACTTGTGCGCGGCGGAACCTTCGCCTCCAGGGTCTAGGTTGCGCAAGGCGCGTCTTTGTGGCGCGGTTTCCGGGCAGCCCTTTTCCCTTACATGCGGAGCTGTGTGGAGAGTTGTAGACAGCAATGGCCCCACGGGTCTGGCGTCGACAGACCCTGGAGCGGTGTCTGAAGGAAGTCGGTAAAGCCACCGGCCGGCCAGAGTGCTTCCTCTCGTAAGTGAGCAGAGCCTGGACTCTGGGTTAAGCCCCGGTCACACGTGGGTGCGGACTCATGGACCCCCAGCAAATTCTGGAGTAGGGGGAAGATAAAGGGAAGCGTACGTCTGTTTTCCTCAATTTCATTTACTTTGCGCTCCCTTAGCCTATCAAAAACTTTTAAGTTGTTAAAAGGTATACAGTGCAGATTTCCAAGTCGTGTGCTAACCAAACTAAGCTCATTTATTAATGCCCAGAGACTTCCATTGAGTCTTACGCACACTTCCCCCCCACCCCCGACTCTTTACACGCGGCGCGTGCACTCTAGGTTGGTTGCTTTTTTCTCCAATATGCTCTAAAACCACCCAGTGCTTGCTTACCCATATCCTTCGTTGCAAGTATTAAGTTTGTCGCTTACCGGTCCACCCCCACGATGAGCTTCTTGAAATTTAGGACAGTCTTTCATCTCTCTTCTCAGCATAAACTCTTTGTATTGGGTTGAAGTACTTAAAATACGATCTGTGAAAGTATGGCTCTCAGATTTGTATTTAAAATCCGACCTTTCCCTTCAGCTTCAGGCTAGCAGTAACTACAGCCATATACTCTTTCAGCATCTCAAATTTAGTCTGTCCAAAATGAGCTGTCCTTTCTTTTTACTGCCCTGTACTCTCCCCTCCTGATACCTTTTCCCCATGTTCCACTCCGCCTTCCCTATCTCAGTAAATGGCACCTCTATTTTTTTCAGTTGTTAAGACATATAACTAAGTTGCTTCTTTGATATCTTCCTTTTTCTCATTTCTACGTCTGATTCATCAGCCAATTCTGTCTTCAAACTGTATTCTGATTTTGCTTCTCGCAGAGTCTGCTCCTAATCCCTGCACAGTTCTTTATCATCCTTTGCCTGGATGGCTGCTTCAGGCTAATCACTGTACTTTTTTGTAATATTTCCTCTACTGGCCATCTTACCAAAGTGTAAATTCCATCATTCGGGTCCTCTGCTTAAAATCTTCTGATGGCTTCTCTTTACACTTAAAATGGCAAACTCTTACCTCTGAACCCTGAATGATTGACCTCCCATCTACCTCCCCTAACCTATCTCCTTCAGCACACTCCAGCTATACTGGCATTTCTGTTCCTCAAACTCACCATGCTCATTTCCATCTTAGGAAATTTATTCTTACCTTTTCTTCTACTTAGAATATATGTTTCCAGAGCTTTGTAAGACTATCTCCTTACAAAGGTCTCATCTCAGATGTCACATCTTCAGAGAGGTAGTCTCTGACCACTCTTGCCAAAGCAAATGCTGACCATTGGCTGACTGAACGAATGGAGTGACATAAAACATAGCAGAGTTGAGCTTTTTAAGACAAAGACTCACTATATATCTTTAGACAAAGAGGTGTGTAGTAGTTTCCTGTCTAAAATCCATACAGCAGATTTACAGACACTTAATTGACTCTTTAATATATTAATGTGGCTCATCCACAAGATAATTCTTGGGAGCCAGGATCTATACTTAAAATTGATATTTTGTTCAACTTTGATTTTACACAAGAGTTGAGCTTTTTTTCATCTAATTCACAGTGCTGTGAAATTATTACCTATAATTCTAAATCTCTTTAAACTTCCTCCCCATACTCCCTTAATAGGATTCAAGATGAATTGGCATCAAAGTTCACTTCATTAACAAAAGTACTTTATGATTTTAATAAAACACTAGAGAATGACAGAATCCACGGAAGTCCTTTAAAAAAACTGGTGATAGACAATTTTGATGATGAGCAGATTTGGCAACAACTAGAATTGCAAAATGAACCAATTTTACAGTACTTCCAGGATGCAGTTAGTAAAACCATTAAAGATGAAGACATTAGTCTTCTTCCAGAGAATGAAGAGCAGGAATGTGAAGAGGATGGCTCAGAGGTGGAGGCTGATGGCGAGGAGGCCCTGGAACAAGATTTGGAAGAGGAGGAAGTGGCTGGCCTGAGTGGTGATGATCCTACAGGGGATGAGAAGACAAAAAATTCAAGCACAGTTGATCTGAGGGAAAAAAGTCCAGTTTTCAGTGATGAGGATTCTGATCTTGATTTTGATATCAGCAAATTGGAGCAGCAAAGCAAGGTGCAAATCAAAGTGCCTAGGAAACCAAGAGAGAAGTCCATAGTAGATGATAAATTTTTCAAACTATCTGAAATGGAGACCTTTTTAGAAAACATGGAAAAAGAAGAGGAACAAAAAGGTGATAAGGAGGAAGATATTGATTTTTTTGAAGACATTAATTCTGATGAAGATGAGGGAGAACTGCTTGGAAGTCAGAAACCTAAGGTAAAGTCTTGGGAGGGGAGAGAAAGAGGACTTTCTACCCTCCTGTGTGAGATTTTGTTCTGTTTCTTGAGAAGAGGTTTCAAATACCTCAGAACTCACCAGGGTACAAGTGAAGTATTTAGATCTGTTGAAAAAGGTGGACTGGAAAAATTAAATCAAAGCTTATCACAGAATACTTCTTTTATAACTTAACAACCATAACCACACATGTTAGAGATATTCAGAGTTTCCCTTAAACATATTTTTACCAAACACTAAAAATGATAATAGAAGAAGGCATCTGTTTATTTGAGGCTGCGATATTTTGTAAATAATTATAGTTAGAAGATTTAGTGATAGGAATATTGTGCTCTGTGTTCAGTTATAAATGAATCCATACTTTCTTCCAGTTTATTACGGGCCAGTAGTTCTTACAGTTTTATAGTAGTGTTATAGTTGCCAGTTTTCCTAATAAAACATGCATACACCTATATGCATGATTTAATGCATTTTTCTGTTCTTAGTTGGAAGATTGAAAAGTCATTTTATTTTAGTCAGGTAAAAGTTCCAGAAACCTGAAATACAAAGACTTCTTTGATCCAGTTGAAAGTGATGAAGATGTAGGAAGTGTTCATGATGATGAACTGGATTCAAAAGACGAGGAAGAAATTGCTGAAGAAGAAGAAAGCATTTCTGAAACGTGAGTAGTTTGAATCCCTTACATTGTAAGCTAGAACTGTCCAGTTATATGGGTGCACTCATAGTTTCCAAATATGTTTGTCCTAAGAAGCTATATTCTCTAACACCAGGTAGACTCAGGGTAGCCAGAAGAAGTCTCTGAATTTAAAAGCATTAGAGATCATCTAATGAAGATAAATATCACCAGTAATGAGACCTTTCTTACTTTATTTGCTTTTTGTGCCAATAAAAATACCTTATTGTTATTTTTGTGAGATAAGCTTGTACTATAGATTCAGAAATATTCTTCTTTTTTTTTTTTTTTGCATTGGGGGTCAGAAGAAGTTTCTTTCTTTCTTTCTTTTTTTTTTTTTTTTTTACAAATAGTTTATTGTCAAATTAGTTTCCACATAACACTCAGTGCTCATCCCCACAAGTGCCCTCCTCCATGCCCATCCCTCCTCCCCCCCACATCCATCAGTCCTCAGTTTTTGTCAGCATTCAAGAGTCTCTCATGGTTTGCCTCTCTCCTTTTCCCCCACCATTTACGCCCTTCTTCTCCCCCTTGTTCCTCCGTCAAGTTCCTCCTAATCCTCCTATACGTGCAAACATATGATATTTGTCCTTCTCTGCCTGACTTATTTCACTCAGCATAACACCCTCAAGGTCCATCCACGTTGCTACACGTGGCCAGATTTCATTGTTTCTCATTGCCATGTAGTATTCCATGGTATAGATAACCCACATCTTCTTGATCCATTCATCTGTTGATGGACACTTAGGCTCTTTCCATGTTTTAGCTATTGTTGAGAGTGCTGCTATGAACATTGGGGTACATGTGCTCCTATGCATCAGCACAGAAATATTTTTCATATGTTCTGTATATTGAACACTTTTCTATTTCACCTAAATAATATCTTCTGGTCTCTAATAATTGAATGGTTTTGGAGCTCTAAATATTTACTTGCATTAGGTATACAAAAGAACTTAAATTACTAGAAAATAAGTTTTGTTTTCCTAATGAAAAGTAGTATATTATTTCTCTTCATAAGTGTTTTGGTATAATAGGGATGAAGATGATGACTTTGAAGAAAGTGAAGACAGTAAACAACATAAAGAAACCTCGAAAAGAGTGACCTTTGCTTTGCCAGATGATGAGGAAAGTGAGGATACAAATATCTTAAATGTACAGAAAGATTCTGATGATGTTAAATCCTCTTTTGAAAAACGACAGGAAAAGGTAATGATTAAGAATTGAAGGACTTTTTTTGTTTGCCAGGACTGTGGGACTCCCAGATAACTAACGTATGCTATTTTTCTTGGTTGAATCCTTAATTATCTTTAAAATAAAACAATCTTTTTTTAAAAAAAATTTTTATTTTAAATATTTTATTTATTTCTGAGAGAGAGAGAGACACCATGAGCAGGGAAGGGTCAGAGAGAGAGGGAGATACAGAATATGAAACAGGCTCCAGGCTCTGAGATAGCTGTCAGCACAGAGCCCGACACGGGGCTTGAACCCATGAACCATGAGATTATTACCT